GCAACCAACAGGCATCTGGTACCTGCTATGCAGCTTAAACACACTTGGAAAATACAAATTACTTGTCCAAAACACTCATGGCTATTGACTCTAAGGTTTCTTGATTTCTCATAGATGAAGGATTGCCTAGTATTTTGTTTGTTTTTAACTGTGTCAGGGTTTAATATTGTTCTGTATATCTATATACAAAGAGGATGGAGGATGGCATCCCCCTCTGACCTCCTCTAATTTCAGCGACCAAGGCTTATTCCTATGAGACCAGACAGGCCACCAACCTCCCACCTTTTAACCAATTTTGACACAAAGTCTCCCTCCCACAGTAGTCACTACTTCTCTGCTGGGTTCAATAATTCATTGCAAGGGCCACAAATAACTCACAAACTATATTTAAGATTATGGGGTTTATTAGGGAAGCAACAGGTTACAGTTCAGGTTCAGGAACATGCTCAGGATACAATTCTTGGATCACGTCAGCTTCCCATTGGCCATGCCCTTAGGCATGCCTCTCTTTGGCCCTTGGCCTGTCCACCTAGCCTCTGCCCTGCTCAGACAAGTGTTATAAAGCTCTTTTGGCTCTGCTTATAGGTGCACCTAGGGGCACCCCACTCTGCCAGCAAGCCTCCTGCCCAAAGGCACTAACTATCACGCTCTGTGGGCTGGTAAACCTGCTGCTCTATCTCATTCCAGTCTCTCAGTTCTCATGCCAGTCTCTCTGCCATCATCTCGGTGCAAAGATCTTGGGTCCATGCCTGGCTTCTCTCTCTTGATGGTAGTGAGATCCCCCCTTCTTATGCCTAGCAGAATACCAAAACTAACCAATCCCCACATTAGAATTCCATACACCTTATTTCCATGGTCCTACCCCCACCAAGGAAGGTTGGGCAATCCTACTTCCGTAGTGATACTGCCTCGGAAACCCAAGGAGGGGTCGCTATGAGTCGGGGCCCACTCAACAGCACATAACAACAACAACAAACCCCCACCAAGGGTGTCATGTACTTTATTTACATTACTAACAAGCTATCCAGGGAGCTCTGGTAGCAGAGTGCCTAAGGCACTTGACTGCTAACCAGAAGGCTGGCGGTTCAAACCCACCAGCCAGTCCTCAGAAGGAAGGTTGGGCAATCTACTTCCAAAGTGATACCGCCTTGGAAACCCAAAGAGGGGTCGTCATGAGTCAAATTTGACTCAACGGCAGTGATTTGGTTTGGTTTGGTAACAAGCTATCCAATCCCCTTGGTGGGCCACAATTACCTTTTATTTGCATAGTTCTACCCAGTCATGTAGCAGGCACCACAAAGACCAAGGCTAGAACAGCCATACAAGGAATTCACTGCCCCACACTATGGTAAACAAATGACCACAAGTTATGCAATCTCTCTTTTTCAAAATAAGTCTTGTATACAAGCCCCTGTAACACTAGTTTAAGAAGCCCTGGTGGTGCAGTGATTAAGCACTTGTCTGCTAACTAGAAGGTGAGCTGTTTGAACTCACCAGTGGGAGAAAGATGTGGCAGTCTGTTTCCATAAAGATCACAGCCTTGGAAACCCTATGGGGGCAGCTGTACTCTGTCCTATAGGGTTGCTATGAGTCAGAATTGACTGAGTAGCAACAGTTTTTTTTTTTTTAAATGCTAGTCTAAGGAGCCCTGGTGGCACAATGGTTAAGTGCTCAACTGCTACCTGAGAAATGTCAGTAGTTCAAACACACTAGCCACTCCACAGGAGAAAAGACCTGGTGATCTACAAAAATTACAGCCTAGAAAACCCTATGGGACAGTTCTATTCTGTCAGAACTGACTTGATGACACATGACAATAGGAGAGTATGCTTAGTATCTTTTAGTTCTATGGTTTTTGGATGCTTCCTCTCAATCCTCTTGATTTAGTTTTGGAGTTAATGGTCTTACCTCAATTACCCCTTCCTTCTTACCCAACTGGAGTATTAATCTTCATGGTCTTACAAATTCAGGGGCTGAATGGTCTCCCATTTCCATGGTGTAACCTGCCATATCCTTTAAAACTGTACCTACTCTAAATAGGGAGCAAGTAATCAGACCGGTGAGCTCAGGACCATGGTCACAGGGGACATCAAGCTCAATTGGCATAACATACTACACAAAAACATTGTTCCACATCCGACTTTGGCGAGTAGTAACTGGAATCTTAAAAGCTTGCAAGTGGTTATCTAGATGCAACGATGGGTCTCTCCTCGTCCAGAATAAAAGAAGGATAAAGAAACCAAAGACACATGGAAACAATCAGTCCAAGCAACTGGTACACCATGCAATCCTCAGTCTATACAACTATGAGACCATAAGAACTAGATGGTGCCCAGCTACCACTGCCAACCACTTGGAGGGGGATCTATGTAGGAGATCCTGGATAGAATGGGAGAAAAATGTGGAACAAAACTCAAAATCATTAAACAAATAAAAGGGACCAGGTTTGCTGGTCTGATAGAGCCTGGTGGATCCCCTGAGACTATGGCCCCTAGCTGCCCTTCAGGTTGGTACTGAATCCATTCCTATGGCTGCCAGCCAAACAAAAGACAGGCATATGAGCTGAACATTTACATTAGGTAGATACACTCCTTGGAGAGAACAATCATGGGAGAATAGAAGGGCTATGTATGTACAGGGAGACAGCTCAGGGGGCAGGAGTGCATGGGAGAGAAGGACACAGGGAAGAGGTAACTATGGGAGGAAGTGGGAGGTGAGCTGTTGCAATGTGGGAAACTGCAGTCAATGTCATTAGACAAAGTGAATGTGAGGTGTATGGAAAATGAATTTGTTCTGTAAACTTTCACCCAAATCTCACACACACATACAAACTATACCTACTCTAAATAATAATTACTGATTTCAGTTACTTCTAATCACAGGCCTGCCTGAGTTCCCTTTCAATTATTCAATAAGTATTGTATTGAGTCTATGAACTTCCAGGCACTCTTCTAGGTTTTGGACAGGTCTTTGAACCCGTTCCAACGGGTTCAGTCTTGGCCTTCGAAGCACAATCAGAATAGACTCGGATTTTTAAAACTTGGGTGATCTGGAACCACAACTAGAAAGGGAAAAATTACACATTTAAGCCCTGGAATGGGAGACTCAGAAGAGGTATAGTGAGCCCTTTCAGGAGCCTGACACGGGACTGGATTATTGCTAGGCCTGTGGAGAACCACACACATTCAAAGCAGTTCTGTGGGTGGCCATCTTTGAGCTCAGCACTTGCTTCCCCCCTGCTCAAAATTCTAAGGAGGTAAGGTTGCTATGCAATGCATAACCTGTCCTTGCTTTCTAAGAGGGTGATTAAGTTCCTAACAGGGCTTTCACCTTCTGGTTATTGTTCTGGTTCACCTAAACTTAAAAAATTCCAGTCTGTTCTGGTTTTGCTTCCTCCACTATGACTGAACCAGGAAGAACCGGTTTGAAGCTCTGGTTTTGAAGACACAGTGATTAATGCACAAAATCCTAGTCCTCACGGACTTTATAGTCTAGGATTTACTGGGAAATAGTAAATAAGTAAAACATGTGCTCTCTAAATCAGTCTTTGAAAAGGATTAACCACTTCAGTAATTTTGTAGGGACTCAAAGAGTGGATGCTGGTGGAGGGGGGGGAAAGAAAAAAGGTTGCCCTAGAATGGATTCCAACTCATAGCGACCAAGAACTGCCCCATAGGGTTTCCAAGGCTGTAATCTTTACTAAGGTAGACTGCCACATCTTTCTGCCAGAGTAGCTGATGGGTCCCAACCTTTTGGTTAAGGAGAGCTTCCATGTACTGTGAAAGTGCTTTGTAATCTGTGAACTACCAATGCCAAGCCTAAGTCTGGAAACATGGGATGTACTTTGTTTTTATCTAGAAAGTTATGAGTTGGCCTTGCCCCTATTTGTACAAGGACAAATGACTTGTCCACTTAATTATGGGCTCTTCAAGGGAGTCAGAAACTCAAGTTGCTATCTCTTTGTCCCACAGCTAGGAGCAATATAAACTCTATCCCCTAAATGTGGTCTTTGGACGACCTGCATTATAATTACCAACGTCATTTGATAAGCAGGCAGGTTACTGGGATGCCACCGGATTCAGGGTTACTGAATCATTTTCTGAACTAGGGTCACATAATTTTCAAGTTTAACAAGCTCCCCAGGTGATACTGGCGTAGATTTAAAGTTCGAATCTTACAAAGATGTTTCGGAAGTGTGACCAGACGGGATAGTAAAACTCTGCACAATAACGAAAGTCCTTAAAGGGGAAGACTAAGTTCCGTGGGTGGATAGGTGGTGGTGGGGTGTGAAGGCTGAGCTCTAGAGGGGTGTTCTTATCGTGACAAAAGTCGCTATCACTTCTCTCACACCCCAAAGTCCCACGACCGTCCAGGCATAGATATCCGTGGCGCTGTTTCTAAGGTAAGACCCTTTCCTGGGACATTTCGCACAACCGTCACTAACTGGCGCCAGGCCAGGCAGATAGGAAGCTGAGGTACAAGCTTCCGCTGCCAGGATGCAAGATGGCGGCACATGAGTGGCCGCCACGAGAACCACATGCTCCATGGCCCTTCGGATTTCACTGAACTTTTGCAAGTCACTGTGGGAACGCTCAAGCTGGGGTGGGGGTAGGGTTCCATGCTCTGATGGCCATGCTACCTCCCATTCTCTGCCTTAGGCCCTCATTTCCCAGCCGAAGAATGCACTGGAAACTCCAAACCTGTACGCTTCCCACAGCGCCCAGCCTGTAACACCTGCAGCCGCGCTCGGCGGAAGGGTCCAGAATGCCAAGCAATAGCATCTTCGTCCCACTCATTGGTGGCACCATGCTGTGGGGCGGGTCTAGACACTCATTGGACCGTGGACAATGTCAGTCTTGGGAGATCGGGCAAGCTAAGGAAGTGGCACATTTAGCCATTGGGTTCTCTCTTCTGTCAATCAAAGCTACATCCGGCGACCGCCACTCTTTCGGCTTGTTGATTGGAGAAACCAGTTACTAGGGTGCCCACGACAGGCGGGCTTCCGAGTGAGGTGGGAGGAGGGGGCGGGGAGGGAAGCGGAGGCAGGGGAGCGCTAGGCCGGCCGGTGGTGGCGGCGGCGAGGCCGGGACTCAGGCTGAGGGCCTGCTGTGGCGGCAGCGGCGGACGCCGAGCACAGGCAGCGGGTATCAGGCATATTCTTTCCCCAGATGAGAGGGGCGCAGCCTATGGGATGAGGGGCGGCGGGGTGGAGCTGAAGGTGTGGAGGCGGGAGCGTTGCTCTAGTCGGAGCCCGGACCTGGTAGGGAGGGGCCGCAGGGTCGGGAAGAAGGCCGGCTCCAGGGTGGGCCGGCCTGGGAGGGTTGAGGGCGCTGGAAGGCGTGGTGGTAGGCCCGGGCTGGGGAGCGGGGTGGGGCTATAGAGACGGAGGGCGGGGTGGGGTTTGGCTTTAAGGGTGGGTCCAGGCCAGGAAAATAGCACTTGTTCGCTGCTGCCCCAGAGGGCTATAAGTCGAGACGCCGAGAGTGGGCATGGCGACTTCCTCCCAGCTGGACTCGGGTATCCGGGGCAGGGTGGTACTGGCCCGGGCTTAGATCAGGGCCCTTTGGCCCTATCCGATCTTTAAGGGACTTTGTCCGGTTTCTTGAACTTAATTGGCTCTTCGGAGGTTTCAGTACTAAATTGCGTGAGCACGAGAGAGTAGGACTCCTGGGTCGCAGTTGTGTTTACTCTGACCAAATGGCGGAGGGTGCGCGCGGGAGTGTTGATACCTCTTTCCTTTAGATTTAAGTTGGTAGATCTCAGCAGTGAAGAGGAGAGGGGTATGTCTTAATTCATGAAATTAATGGCAGCTCAGAAAGAGACTAGAAACTGAAAGGCAGATTGACCTCATCCCCACTTGGCAGTCTGGCTTGAGAATTTGTTATCTCCTACTGATTTATGAAAATAAAACCTGCCTATGCAAATTCTGGACGGAATAATCCTACCTCAGGCTGCCCCGTCTCCCCCTTCCTTTTTTTTTTTTAACATGGGAGTGATAGGGGAGGGAAATGAGATTTTGAATTTGGAAATATAAAAGGCATTATTCTCTTGTGTGAAGGAGTGGCCTGACCGTTGTCCCTATGTCCTTTTACACCCACACACATTAATAATCTTTCCCTCCTCTTTAGAGTTGGAAGGGGTAAGGATTTTAGGCAGTTTTCTCCAGAGAGATGGGAAACCAACTTTGCTTTAAGATGAGAAATTGACTTCTCACACTAAAAATAGAGACTGGGTATAATGTTTGGGGTGGGGGTAGTGCTAAGTCAGGCAACATGTAAAATGTTTTGGATGCCCTGGGCATTGTCTGTTTATCCAAAGTAGGCTACCTTTTAGGGTATTGCAAAATTAATATTCAATAGCTGGGCTCTTTTATAAGCGTTACCTTCCTTTTATAGTTATTTGGTCTGTAACAGGATTTGTTTGTTTGCTTTGGGGGATATAGTAAGTGTTCTATTTTTACTCCTGTAAAAGTGGCCTTTGCTTATAATGTGTTTCCTACCTTCTACCATGAAGGTTTTCCTACCTTGATCATGTTGTGCAAAGCATGGAATCTTATCCTGTTGCTCTTGTGATTCTCATTTCAGGTTTCTCTGGAAACCCCCCTGGTAAGTGTGGAGGAGGCGGGACACTCTGACCCAAGACAAAAGGCCTGTAGCTCCAGCCAAAGAAAATAAACCTTAGGAGGGAGAAGGAAAAAAAAAAAAAAAATCCATCAGCTGTTCCTGAGAACAGCCTGCAGTGGAATCTACAGAGAGGACAGCTAATGTGAGTGAGGAAGTGACTATATGTGGACTGTGGAGACAGTAAGTCACGTGGGCCCTGAGGGCCTGGACTGGGTTAGGGACAATTGCTCTTTCAGAGGTGAGGTGTCAAGAAGGGAAAAGTGAATGTGGTCTGGAGTGTGGCCTTGGCTCCACGGGGTGTACGTTCCTCTGGGGCCATCAGGGAGCTCAGCCCCTGTGTTCTGCCAGGGTGGGGTACAGGGTTTGGCACTGAGGAGGGTAACTTGCTGGCTGGAGCAGCAGAGCAGTGGCCTTGATTTGTGTTTTGGAAGATTTAAAAACCAAAAAGCATAAACATTCTGGTCCTTCAGCAATGCTTTCTCTGAAGAAATATTTAACGGAAGGACTCCTCCAGTTCACCATTCTACTGAGTTTGATTGGGGTGCGGGTGGACGTGGATACTTACCTGACCTCACAGCTCCCCCCGCTCCGGGAGATCATCCTGGGGCCCAGTTCTGCCTATACTCAAACCCAGTTCCACAACCTGAGGAATACCTTGGATGGCTATGGTATCCACCCCAAGAGCATAGACCTGGACAATTACTTCACTGCCCGGAGGCTCCTCAGTCAGGTGAGGGCCCTGGACAGGTTTCAGGTGCCGACCACTGAGGTAAACGCCTGGCTGGTCCACCGGGACCCAGAGGGGTCAGTCTCTGGCAGCCAGCCCAGCTCAGGCCTCGCCCTTGAGAGTTCCAGTGGCCTCCAAGATGTGACAGGCCCAGACAACGGGGTGCGAGAAAGCGAAACGGAACAGGGATTCAGTGAAGATTTGGAGGATTTGGGGGCAGTAGCCCCTCCAGTGAGTGGAGACTTAACCAAAGAGGTTAGTGGCCCTGTGGTGAGTGGGTGGGGCCTGGGGGTAGAGGGGTGGGCTGGTCCTGAAGGACTGTGGTCACAGTGCTAATCCTTTAAAGAACCAGGTAGGTTCCAGGGGAGGCTTAGGCATTGTTCTTGGATGGAGTTGGGCAGAATTATCTGACTTTGAGGTGAGGTTTGGGGGCTGGGAGCCTTTCCTTGTGTTGAACCATTGACCTACCTCTAAATGTACTGTCAGGGCAGTGGGAGGTTCCTAGAACATGCCAGTGTGTTTACTGCTTGGATTTCAACATGACTTCTGGAGGCCCAGGGTGGGGGAGGGATCATGTTGTGATGGGCTTTGATGCAATGTGTATCTGTTGCTAAGACACAAATGCTTTGTGGACTCTTGCCTTGTTTCCTCTCCCCCCTAACCCCATCAAAACATACTTTCATACCCTGAAGTTCTCCTCCTTTGTGGTCAGGCTCGTTGTTAGGAGGTCCTGATAAGTCAACTCTCTTGGACCTGAGCCAAAAGCTAGATTTGAAGTTATTCCTGGCCTGGACAGGGTCAAGGCTCCCATTCTTTGCTGAAGGCCCACTGCAGGGAGTAGGGAGGAGAAGGCTGGGAGCTTGAAGACAACTTGCATTCTGCTTGCCTGGATCTAAGCAGAGGGTATCTTTTGCTCCTGTCATGTGCCTGACTTACTGTTCTGAGCAGACGGATGGAGTTGCCTTTAACCATGTGTATGGATATTGTTCCTCCTACCCTACCTCCCCAGTACTAAGACTGCTTGTTTATGTGGCTCTGGCTTGCCACTTGGCCTTAAAGAGCTTGACAGAAGGGTCCACTGCACTCTCCTGGCCACTAGGGAAGAAGGCTATGGGCTGGGTTTTCCAGAAGTTAGGCCTTGGCGAGGGAGTGGGGTACTGAGGAGGGCATGTGGAGTAGGGAAAAAGCTCCACACAGCTGGAGAACTTAGCTCCTCTGCCCACCAGGTTAGACAAGGTTTTTCCCCTTCTTCCCTGTGTGCAAGCCTGTTCCTAAGCTTAGTTCTCTGAATGTTAGAAACTGTCAAAGAAGAATATACTTTTCTCTAGTCCAGTGGTCCTCAACTGGGGGCAGTTTGGTCCCCTTGGGGACACTTGCATCATCTGGAGACATTTTGGTTGTAAAAACTGGCATGTAGTGGGAACAGCCAGGGGTGCTGCTAAGCAGCTGAAAATGCACAGGGCAGCCCCCATCGACAGGTTTGTCCAGCCCCAGGTAAACCCTGCTGGATGTTCAGCTTGCTCACACTGGATCAACTTTAGAGACTAGGGTTATCTGAGGTGCCTTGGTGATACGATGGTTAAGCTCTCGGCTGCTGACTGAAAAGTCTGCAGTTCGAACCCACCAGTCGCTCTGTGGGAGAAACGTGGCAGTCTGATTCTGTAAAGATCACAGCCTTCTTGGAAATCCTGTGGGGCAGTTCTGCTCTGTCCTGCAGGATCGCTCAGTGAGAATTGACTTGATGGCAGTGGGTTTGGTTGGTTTAGGGTGATCTGAGCACGGGTAGCATGAGTGTTTCTTACCCTTCAGTGTCTTTCTCTGAGCTTCTTACACAGCCATTTGGAGTTTAATCTTTCTTCTGCTTCTCCTTTCCTTCCCTTTCCCTCAAGTGGGCTCTAGTCTTGGCACAGTGGTCTGAAGAAGGGTGCTTTCTGTATAGCTTTTCAAGGGGTGGTGTAACTTGGGCCTGCTCCCGGGAACCTGGGCAGAGACTGTGCAGGGATAGTTGTGCTCCTGTCTCGCGGCTGTGCTCTGGGGCTGGGACGGAATGGGGGTGTTCTGGCTATAGTTGGATGAGCTGGGGTGAATGGGGTGGGGTTTTGACACTGCTTTCTGAGCAGATGTCTGTTCTCCCTTTGTTTCAGGGCCCTCATAAAGGTGGTGCTTTCCCTGACCCCAGGCCACCACTGCTCCCTCTCTAGGTTGAAGGGGTCAGCTTTAGGGGCCTAGGCAGGGTATGGGGGAAGGGAAGATTATTATGTGTCTAGAACATTTCCTCAGCAACTCCGGGATAAAAATACCCAGGTCAGAGCATGTGATAGGCATTGCTGGAGCTGGTATTATCCCTGGGGTGGCAGCGCTCCCCTGCTGCCAGGCTTGTTCGATGGATAGCCATAGCCCAGGCCTGCGTCAGGGATAGGATTCCCCTCGAGGTTGGCACTCTGCCCAGAGCAAGGGGTGGCCTGTTGACAGCTCTTTCCAGGCTAAGAGCAGTTGTGACCAGGGAGAACATACTGTCTCTGTGCCCTGACCTTCGGCTCCAGGGGAGCAGCAGTGGGGACGCAGCTGCATCTCCCCTCAAGCCTGCCCAGGAGTCTTGACTGTGATGCTGGTCACAAGGGCCCTCTTTCTTGCTTAGGGGTGGGCAGAGAGGAAATGGGGACATACTGGTGACTGGGATCCTCTGAAGCACCTGTCTCCCTAAGTGCAAGGCCTCAGATTGTGTCTCCTCTCTTGCTTGGGGCTAGGCCTAGCCCAGATGTGTCATCCCGGACGTGTGCAGGTGGCTTTCCCCTTTCCGCTAGTCTGACCTATCGTAGGGTAACAGAGCTACCTGGTTCTTGGTGGGTCTGAGTGCACTGTGTTCCCGCCCGGCTTGGTTTGTAATCTTAGGTTTGAGGAGGGGTAGGTATGTCATATCCCTCAGGAGGAACAGGAAGACTGTTTCCACTCCCGGAAGAACTTAGCTTCCAGAAAATCTACGGGAGGAGCAGGCTGCGACAGGAGGGAGTGTGGCACCCCTTCCCCCAGGGCGCTCACTGCACCACCCCAGCTGACTGGCTGGGCTGGGTGGGGCTGCCCGCCCCTGGGTGCATCTCCTCAAGGAGACGGAGGCGGCCCCGGGATGGGCTGCTTCCTGCGGCAGCTTCCCCAGCTGCCCTGGTGCAGAGATTGGCTGCCGGCTGCAGCTAGGTAACAGGCGGTGGGAGGGGATTGGCTCCCTCCGCATCTCCAGCGGAGGCTTAGGGGAGGAGATTGGCTCTCTGCGAAGCCTAGGTAACGACAGTGGGAGGGGATTGGCTCTTTCCGCAGCCAGCTGCTGACCTGGGGGAGGGGATTGGCTCTCTGCAGCCTCAGCAGTGACCTGCGGGGGGGAGGGGGAGGGGATTGGCTCCTTGCTGCAGCCTAGGTAACAAGTTTGGGGGGCGTGGGGAGAGGGAGCGGGGGAGGAGCGGGAGGCTAGGCCCAGGAGGGCGCTCGCTTTCCTCTGCAGCCTGAGCCCGGAGCATGGGGTGGGAGTCCCATCTCACTGCAGCCTCTGCGGTGAGCTCAGGGTGGGGGCTGCCGGGTGCCTGAGTGGAACTGGGGTTGTGAGGTGGGAGGGGGCTGCTCAAGAATGGAGGAAGGGGGCTGGGCTGGGCCGCCCAGGCAGCAGCACGGGCGGGGCACCCTCCTCAGGCCCCTCAGAGCTAGCAAGGGGCCACCCTTCCAGCCTGGTGTGCTCCCCGCAAGCCACAAGCTCCTTGCAGCCCCCTGTCCGGCTCCCCGGCACCGGCTGCCCTGGGGCTCATCTCGCAGACCATGACCCGCCTGGACCGAAGCTCTCACAGTGGTGGGGGCCATACCAAAGGGAGCCAGCCCCTTAACTCTTTGCTGGCTGGTCACCGGGTGGCCCAGCCCCCTTCTGCTCCTGGGTCCAGGGCTTCTGTTCAGGTTGGTGTATGTTGGGAGACTATAGGGAGAGAGATAGTTGGGAGGTCTTAGGGTTGGGGAGGATAATAGTGGGAAAAGGATCCTTGGTTAGGGTTAGGGAGGTGGGTTTAAAATCTTGTTTTCTGGGAAGTATCTGCTTTTTAACCCCTGAATGGAAGTTAACAGTTGAGTTTTGCCAGGCTGGTGAGGAGGGTTCAGCCACCGGCCAGCATGTATGTGAAGCCCAGATGGCTGTTATTTATTAGAGGTTCTGTGCTGGTGGCAATAGGGGTGGTGGTTGGTGCAGGAACTGATTGGGATCCACTGGGTAGATTGGGAGGGAGGCATTTTGGTGCCTAAGGTGGCAGTTGTGGCTGAGGAGTGATTTGGGTTATGTCCTTGAATGGGTTGACTGCCCAGGAGGCGGGAAGTCCTGGGGTGTGGTAAGGAAGGAGTGAGAGCTCTGGATGAGGGGACCCATTGGGGCTGCCTGGTAGGGTGGGGCGGCCAGTGGGATCACCTGACTCTGCCTGAGGCTCTCCTGGGATGGAGGCAGCTTGCTGGGAGCAACTGAGAATGGGAACTCTGGCAGGGATGGCTCTGGAGGTGAGCTTTTAAGAGTTGTGAGTGTTCATACTCACCCGTCTGTCAGCCAGGGAAGGGGAATGGCTGAAGGGAGGGCTGGAGATAGCCCGGCACTGTCATTGGTTGCATCAGGTGGTTGGAAATGCAGGGATTTTCCTTTCCAGCCCACCCCACCCCTTTATGCAAATGAAATGGCACCATAGGCTGATGCAAGCCTGGCCACTAGGAAGCAATTCTGCATGACAGTTCGTCCCTGCTTGCCATGGCCAGCTCCTTACAAACCGAGTTTTAAGGGATTCTCATTCTTAAAATGAAAAGTGTCTCTTGCTACTCTCTTCCTTCTTATGTAGGGGTGAGGTGGCCCTGCCTTCTGGCTTGTGTGTACCTCTGGTCCAGGTCTTAAGCTCACAGACTTCCATGGTGATGGTTACACGAGTGGGTTTTGCTAGTGGCTCTTCGGAAGTGGGGGTGGTGTCTGGAAATGGATGAGTGAAGCCTTGCTGGTGCAGGTGTAGGGCTGGGAGAGGTTTCTCTCAGGACTGATTGGAGTGACAGGAGGAGGGACCTCTGAGGAACAGGATGGGAGGGGCCCCTGGGACCTGAGAGTAAAGTCATGATGGTCTGTCTTTCAGGACATAGATCTGATTGACATCCTTTGGCGACAGGATATTGATCTGGGGGCTGGGCGTGAGATTTTTGACTATAGTCATCGCCAGAAGGAGCAGGATGTGGACAAGGAGCTGCGAGATGGAGGAGAACAGGGGGACACTTGGCCCGGCGAGGGTGCAGAGGCTCTGGCACGGAATCTGCTAGTGGATGGAGAAACTGGGGAGAGCTTCCCTGCACAGGTAACACCACCTCTTCGCACCAGGTTCTCTTTTCCTCCCTGTGACCCCCAGCACACAACCTAGGCAGAGCTCTCCTTCAGACAGGCAGGCTGTGGCTGTGGGATGGCCTGGAATGCATATTTTGTGTTGAGGACTATAAGTCACGGTGGCTGGGCCGGGAGGGGTGTGGATGAGTAGCAGATGCAGAGAGGCCAGGGCCTGGCAACAGCACAGAGAAGGCAAAATCTCTGGCATCCCCCTGCCTACTTTAGGACTCTTCCATCTCCCCTCTCTTTTCCTCTGGAGTTTGGGACTCAGGTCCAGCCATTGTCTTAGGAATGGGAGGGAGCCTTCAGGCTTACAACCAGCTACCTCCTCAAGCAGTTTCTCTTGGGAAAAGCTGGGAGGATGCCTCAGCCTGTAGGCAACCAAGGCCCAGATCAGCCAGACTTAACGGTTGCTGTTGCCACAGGTGCCTGGTGGGGAGGACCAGACGGCCCTGTCCCTGGAAGAGTGCCTTAGGCTGCTGGAGGCCACCTGCCCCTTTGGGGAGAATGCTGAGGTGAGCAGGACTCTAGGGAGAGCCCACTGAGCAGGGCCACCTATACCTGGCACATCCCTCCATGGCTGGCTGAGGTGCCAGCACTTGGTTCTGGCCCTGTTCTGGCTGCCGGGGGTGAATCAGAGGAAGGCAGACACAGAAAAGCAGATGGTGGCCTCTGGGAGGAAAGCAGAGGTGGTTTTTCCTTTCCCCCTGTAAAAGCCTCTGTTTTGACCTCAGTTTCCAGCAGACATTTCCAGCATAACAGAAGCAGTGCCTAGTGAGAGTGAGCCTCCAGCTCTTCAGAGCAATCTCCTGTCTCCTCTCCTGACGGGGACAGAGTCACCATTTGACTTGGAACAGCAGTGGCAGGATCTCATGTCCATCATGGAAATGCAGGTAAGGTTTTATCAGAACAGGACACAAACACCCTGGAGTTCTTTTTCCACCTGTGGGGAAAGAAGGAGTAATACCTCTCCCCCGATCTGTCCGCCCCAGGTGAAGTGAGAGGTAGATGAACTTTCTAAAGCAGGGCTTTCTGCCTGGGTGCACCGTCTTCCTTTCCTTCAGGCAGAGTCACTTGGCTGGGTGTTTCCAAGGTTTGGCATTAGTTCTAGCATTGGTTCATGTAGTGCTTGACAGCCATTGTTCTCTCACTTGGCCCTCACAGGCCTCTAATTGGCCAGTATCATCTTAAAGGTGTTCTGACTCCAAGTCTGGATGTTCTTTTTATGGTGCTGATTTTGCAGTTAAGAGGTAGTTAAGGTTATATTTCCTTATTTTCCCCTTTCAAATGCATGAATCTGGCAAGACACGACCGGGACCTAGTCACATCCTGTGTTGGGGGTATAGTCCAAGGGAAAGAGCCTGTCTCTGCCAGGCCTGATAGACCAGGCTGGGCCTGGAGCTGACCCCGTGGGGTTTGGTTTCCAACCTCTTTCTTTAGACCAGTGTAACCGGGGCTCTGTGGGAAGCCTGCTGAGTGTGACCCCTCCCCCCATGCACACACCTGCCCCAAGGGAGTCTGCTCCTCTGACTCCAGAACAGTGATGCGCTTGTCTCTTCGCAGGCCATGGAAGTGAACACGTCAACCAGTGAAATCCTATACAGCGCCCCTCCTGGAGACCCACTGAGCACCAATTACAGCCTTGCCCCCAACACTCCCATCAATCAGAATGTCAGCCTGCATCAGGCGTCCCTGGGAGGCTGCAGCCAGGACTTCTCCCTCTTCAGCCCTGAGGTAGAGAGTCTGCCTGTGGCTGGTGGCTCCACACTGCTCCCCTTGGCTCCCAGCAATTCTACCAGCCTCAACTCCACGTTTGGCTCCACCAACCTGGCGGGGCTCTTCTTTACGCCCCAGCTCAATGGCACCGCCAACGACACAGCAGGCCCAGAACTGCCTGACCCCCTGGGGGGCCTGCTGGATGAAGCCATGCTGGATGAGATCAGCCTCATGGACCTGGCCATTGAAGAAGGCTTTAACCCTGTGCAGGCCTCCCAGCTCGAAGAGGAGTTTGACTCTGACTCAGGTCTCTCCTTGGACTCGAGCCATAGTCCTTCCTCCCTGAGCAGCTCTGAAGGCAGCTCTTCTTCCTCTTCCTCCTCTTCCTCCTCCTCTTCCTCCGCTTCTTCCTCTGCCTCTTCCTCCTTTTCTGAGGAAGGTGCCGTTGGCTATAGCTCTGACTCTGAAACCCTGGATCTGGAAGAAGCGGAGGGCGCTGTGGGCTACCAGCCTGAGTATTCCAAGTTCTGCCGCATGAGCTATCAGGATCCGTCTCAGCTCTCCTGCCTGCCCTACTTGGAGCACGTGGGCCACAACCACACATACAACATGGCACCCAGTGCCCTCGACTCTGCTAACCTGCCACCTCCCAGCACTCTCAAGAAAGGCAGCAAGGAGAAGCAGGCAGACTTCTTAGATAAACAGATGAGCCGGGATGAGCATCGAGCCCGAGCCATGAAGATCCCCTTCACAAATGACAAAATCATCAACCTGCCTGTGGAGGAGTTCAATGAGCTGCTGTCCAAATACCAGCTGAGTGAGGCACAGCTAAGCCTCATCCGTGACATCCGGCGTCGGGGCAAAAACAAGATGGCGGCACAGAACTGCCGCAAGCGTAAGCTGGACACCATCCTAAACCTGGAGCGAGATGTGGAGGACCTGCAGCGGGATAAAGCCCGGCTGCTGCGGGAGAAGGTAGAGTTCCTCCGGTCACTGCGGCAGATGAAGCAGAAGGTCCAGAGCCTGTACCAGGAGGTCTTTGGGCGGCTGCGTGACGAGAACGGGCGGCCCTACTCCCCCAGCCAGTACGCGCTCCAGTATGCTGGGGATGGTAGCGTGCTCCTCATTCCACGCACCCTGGCTGACCAGCAGGCTCGGCGGCAAGAGAGGAAGCCAAAGGACCGGAGGAAGTGAGCCCGGGGAGGAAGGGGTTGACGCTCACCAAGACCGAAACGGGAGGAGGGCTGGGCCTGGACCTGGACCTATAGCGGGGACTTTACTGCCTTCTTATCCAGTATATCTTCTCAGATGGGATGACTGCGGGTCAGTGTACAGGAGAGACGGGCGCAGGCGCTGTCTGGCTCAGCTTCCCCCACGGGGGTGGGGTAGAAGTGGCCAGACCATTTGGGTGGACAGGGTCCTTGCCCCTATCCCTTTCCTTTGAGGGAAGGGATGGTGCTGTCATTGTTGGAGGTAGAGGAGCTGTGCGGAGCAAAGGCTGAAAGGCTGAAAGGAAGGGACTGGGGAAAGGAGTAGAAAGTCTTGTTCTGGAAGGAAGGAAGAAAACAAACCCAAAAAAATCAAAGCGGGACGAAAACTAAGGGAAGGTTAAGTTTGGCTTTGGCCAGGATTCCAGGCAGCAGGTTTTAGTGGCTCAGGTGGGACTAAGTTACTGGTGTGAGTGAACCCCATTTCACCCCGGGGAGAGGTGATAGACAGACGCATGGTGGGCTGGAGGAGGGGCCTTGTTAGCTCTTTCTGCTCCCTGCACTTTGGCATCCCCAGAGGGGAGCTCTTGGGTGTCTCCTGTTATTTTTCAGTAGGGTGGGAGCCACAGGGACCCAACACTGGCTTTGAGGTTTAGGGTTAAAGGGCGGAGTGAACAGGAAAGGGTCACAAGGCTCCATGTTGCAGCAGCCCCAACACCAAGCATGTCACTCACTGTCCTGCCGCTCCCATCTCTCTAGTGTTCCTTTGCCAAGGGAGGCACCCACTGTCCCCATCAGAGCCTGCATGTGAATGCTGCACTCCCACCCCACCCCCCACGTCTGCCTGTAGCTGTGAGGTAGCTGGGCTGCTGCAGTGCTCTGGGGGCTGCCTCTGGGGCGGGGGATAATGTGGAGGGAGAAGCCGGCCCAACAACCTCCAGGCAGTATTCAGCACAACACGGGGGAGCGACTCTTCCCTCAGGCCTCCCCCTACCAACTGGGCTTGTCATTGACAAAAAAAACCCTACACAACCCAGCAACAACAAAACTAGTCCTCTTAGAATTTCTTGCGCTTTGATTTTTTTAGGGCTTGAGCCCTGTTTCACTTATAGGGTCTAGAATGCTTGTGTTGAGTACAAAGGAGATGCCCCAATATTCAAAGCTGCTAAATGTTCTCTTTGCCATAAAGACTCCGTGTAACTGTGTGAACACTTGGGATTTTTCTCCTCTGTCCCGAGGTCTCTGTCTGCTTTCTTTTTTGGGTTTCTTTCTAGGAGAGTAAGATGTGCATGCCCTGGGGGCTGAGGGTACCCCTCCCCCAGGCTCTCAGCCTTGCCCCGCCTTATCAGGGCTCCTGGAGACTGCCTAGAGGGCAGAGAAGGGAGCTCCAAGCTGGCCAGATGCTCCCAAGACCTCAGCGTCTGTCTGCCGGCTGCCCTCCCTGCCCAGCTTGGGAATGCTGTGCCCCAGACTAGCAGAATAGAGTTGAGGTGGGGAAGCACTGAGGTCCCCCCCCCCAGGGGTGTTCTGACTGAGCAGTGGGGAGGCTCAAGCCTGGAAAGTACATTTATAAATTATTTTCTTTGTAGATTTTATTTTTAATTTATCTCTGACCTGCCAGGGAGAGAGGAGAGATGCTGTGAGCACATGACAAAATAAAACGGATGATTTGTTCGCAGTGCAGTTTTTCCCGACTTCTGAGTTTAAATTGATGGTAAGGAAACAGGTCCTGTGGAGGAAGACTCACCATTATGTGTCTTAAGGCTGAGCTCATGTGGGAAGGTGGGTGGAGGCAGGGGAGGTTGACAGGGGGAACTCTTAGATTTAAAAGACAAAAGTTTTAAATACTGTATTGAACTTCCCAAGCAGGTGTTCAGTACTTTACAGGCTATGCCAGATGGTGATGTCTCAGCGCTAGGGTGCACAGTTCTTCAGGTCTCCCTCATAGAGCTAAACAAAGTGGAGGTGTTCCATCACATGGCCCAGCTCCTTACCTGTCTGCCCCTTACCTGTCTGCCTGCTACCAACTGTATTTCTAAGCTTGAGTGTGCTGTGCTGTTACTTTTCTGGTGGCTCCAAGGGTGTGTGGTGTTGGAGTGCAGCCACAACCAATGGGGATGAAAATGGAGAAGTGTAACAGCAGGGTCCAAGGGTGTGGGGAGGGAAGGAGCAGCAGGAAGCCAATCCTCAGGGCCAAAAACGGAAAAAAAAAACCCTCCCCAGCTGGTTAGAATCTGCTGTCCCTCCAACCCCTTTAACAGCAAAGCTACTGATAGTTGTGATGTTGAAGGTGCCTCTTGGAACGACCACAGACCCACTCCAGGGTAGGTGCTTTAGTAAGTGCCTGAGGACTGTTCACCTGGCAGGCAGCCCTCCTTGAGAAGGAGCTGTTGTCCCCATAATGGAACCTGTGATCTTGAACTACAAGCACCATTGTGTCACCTGGCTTATCCTAGTCCTGTAATGTTACTGGAGTTGTCCTAAGGGGTGCAATAGAATTCTAATTACATTTCTAACTTGTTTGAATTTACAAGCCACCCCCCCCCCAATCTCTAGTGGGAAAGGATTGGTCATGTCAGACAAGCACTCTTTCCTAATTAGCAAATAACTGGTGTCTGAAAGCCAGATAAAACCAAGATTCTTAATTAAAAAATAAAAACCCACAAAGCAAGACAAACTTTAATCCATGGTGATGGTTTAAAAGAAAAAAGCAAACATTGTAGCAAGATAAACTGACAGGTAAAAATTTAGTATGTTTTCATATCCCAGAAATGTATACACATTTTTTTAGTATGTAATTAGGCTATGCCTTTTGTCTTGTAACTCTTTCCTTTAAAAAAAAAAATTTAAAGACTTATTTTCAAGAGAAAAACTCTTTATCCATTTGCTAGTGTTGCCTCTGGTCTTGGAATGTGTACTTTGGCTGTCTGTCATGGCCCCTTACAGAGAGATGTACAGTTGTGTCTAGGATCATGCTGATTAGCTGGGGCTCTGGGCCAAGTTGGTCGGCACTGTGTGGGGCTGACCTCTTTTTGCTGCTGGCAGGTGGAGTGGGTGTTCCAACCTCCAGGCACTTTCTGGCAGGAAGAAATGAGAACTTGAGTAAGGCCTGTGAAAGGGCTGCTATACTAATCCATCTACTGAAGGCAAGGAGACAGAATCTAGTTCACTGGAATGAGATGGGTGGGGGTGTGTGTATGCACGCACGCACGCAAGCTTTAGGTTTAACTAAGCCCCAGGCTCTTCAGGGGAAGCTTTGTGGGTGGGACTTTGCCTTGACTTTAGCAGTCTACTTTATTCAAAAGGAGCCTTGGCAGTTCAAACCCACCAGCTGCACCACAGATACAGCAGTCTTTACAGACTTTACACAAAGATTACAGCTTTGGAAACTATGGGCAGTTCTCTGTTCTATAGAGTTGCTTCGAGTTGGAATCAGCTCCATGGCAATGGGTTGGTTGGTTTTTTGGTTAGGCTTCATTCAAACTGATTGCCCCCCCCCCACATTTTATTAATGTACGAAGACAGGGGCTCTGGTAGCATAGTGCCTGAGGTACTTGACTGCTAACCGGAAGACTGGCGGTTCAAACCCACCAGCCACTCCTTGGAAGGAAAGTTGGGCAATCCTACTTGTGTAGTGATACTGCCTCAGAAACCCAAGGAGGGGTTGCTATGAGTCGGGGCCGACTCGACGGCACATCATAACACCACGAAGACAACTAGACCCATTGTTTCGATCTCAGCCCTGTACAGGATCTTGCCAAGAAGCTGGGAATGTAATAACTACAGATGTGAGGAGGGTGTGTGTGTGGTATAGTGATTTGAGCCTCATGTCATCAAGACCTGGCCTGTGTGACTGACTTTTGCCCCTTCCCTGGGAGCTGAGCAGGAGCCAGCTGGCTTGGTGAAGGGGGCTGGGGCGTGCTTCCCGTAGAGCTGACTTCACCTCAGCTTTCGCGACCTCCAGCCCGGACTTCGCTGCCTGTCGGGTTTTGTTAACTAGCTAGAACAAGTGCTTTGAAGAAACAGTCATCCTCCTCAAGTGTCCTACCTCAGCTGGGAGGCACTGACCAAGAGCAACAACTTGAGAACCTCAGAGTAAATATAGTGTCTTTCTTAGGGTACTACCTGGGAGCTCTGGTAGCATAGTGGCCAAGGCACTTGACTGCTAACCAGAAGGCTGGCGGTTCAAACCCACCAGCCACTCCTCGGAAGGAAGATGGGGCAATCTACTTCCGTAGTGATACTGACTCAACGGCATATAACAACAACAACAGGGTACTACCTGCTGGGCAGCAAGAGATCTGTTTCTATATTAATGCAGACGTGCAGATACAGGTACTAGATAGGTGTCTGGCTCTCTGGAAGTCACTTTCCCAACCAAGTGTAGGAACTCTCTAGCAAAACCTGTGTGTCTGATTATCATGAGTGGTTAAGCCTTGTTTTCCTATCAAAAATGACTTATCAGTGTACCAAAGACAAAACACTTCTTCCACCTCTAGTTCTCACAGTAAGGCCAATCACATTCTTTGCCCCTAGCTCAGAACTTGATAGTGGAGAATGGACACAGAAGACCATGGATACACATGAAACTTAACAAGTGTATTTAAACTCTAGTCCTTGTTCTGTCCAGAACTTTGAAAGCTCATGTCCACCTAAATTAGATGAGAAACTAGTGCACATGTTGCCCCTGCAGTAGTGAGAGCATGGGACCTTGCTAAAGACGTTTACAAAATCAGTTGGATAGAAGCCCTTGTCTTCATTTTTGAGTATGTATGCAAAGATAAATGAACTAGTGGCGTAGTGGATAAGGGACTTGACTGCTAACTGGAAGGTCAGAGGTTCAAATCCAACAGCTGCTCTGCAGAAGGAAGACTGGGCGATCTACTTCAGTAAAGATTCACAGCCTCGGAAACCCAAGGGAGTCACTATGATTCAGAAACGACTCAATGGCAGTGAGTTTGGTTTTATGCAAAGATAAACATACCACCAAAGCTCTTAAAGCTGGTTCTTTTTCAGCCTAAACTGAAACTGCAAAATGGAAATATTTTTAACCTGATTCCAGATGCCTGTTATCAACCAAGGAGACAAGATCTAATTCATGTGGGGAGAGGTGGTGAAAAGACCACCTGGAACTCTGCCTTTTGTATTAAACACAAGTTTAATTAGGGTAATTCACTTGAGTTAAACCTAGTTCTTAGCTAAAGGTTAAAGCAGCAATTCAAACAGCCAGCCTAATGTCCCAGAGTCAGGCCCCAGTGTTGTCTTGACTGACTGTAGTCTATACAAATAGTAAATAGAGTATGCTTGGTTAAAGTCAAGTGTTGGCTGTTAGGTGCTGTCAATCCTTCCTGACACAAGCAACCCTATGTACAGAATAAAACAATGCCTGGCCCTACACCATCCTCACAACAGTTGCTATGTTTGAGCACACTGTTGTAGCCACTGTTGATCCACCTCATTGAGGGTCTTCCTCTTTTTTGCTGACCTTCTGTTACCAAGCATGATGTCCTTCTCCAGGTACTGGTCCCCTCTTGATACCACGTCCAAAGTATGTGAGACAAAAGTCTCACCATCCTTACTTCTAAGGAACATTATTCTGGCTGTACTTACTCCAAGACAGATTTGTTTGTTCTTTTGGCAGCCCATGGTGTATTCAACATTCTTCACCAACACTGTATTTTAATGGCATCCATTCTTCAATTTTTCTTACTCATTGTTCACCTTTTGCATGCCTATGAGGCAACTGAAAATACCATGGCTTGGGTCAAGTGCACGTTAGTCCTCAAGTGGTATCTTTGCTTTTTAACACCTTAAAGAGGTCTTTTGCAGCAGATTCACCCAATGCAATATCTCATCATTTGACTTCTTGAGTTCTGCTTCCATGGGCATTGATTGTGGATCCAAGTAAAATGAAATCCTTGACAATTTCAATCTTTTCTCTATTTATCATGCTGTTGCTTATTGGTCCAGCTGTGTTGCTGCAATCTTCACACAGTATAGAGATTGAGTAAGTATGGGGAAAGGATACAACTCTGACACAGACCCTTTCTGATTTTAAACCATGCAGTATCCCCTTGTTCGGTTTGAACAACTTCTTCTTGGCCTATGTACAGGTTCCTCATGAGCACAATAAAGTGTTCCAGAATTCCCATGCTTTACAATGTTATCCATAATTTGTTATGATCGACACAGTCAAATGCCTTTGCATAGTCAACAAAACACAGATAAACATCTTTCTGGTATTCTCAGCTTTCAGCCAAGATCTGACAACAGTGATACCCCTCATTCCACACCTTCTTCTGAATTTTTGGCAGTTGCCTGTTGATGTTCTGCTGTAACTGTTTGTGAATTATCTTTAGCAAAATTTTGTGTGTGATATTAAAGCCAACTAGAATTTAAAATCCATTTTCAGTAAACTGTCTTAGTAGTATCACAAACCATCATACAAACCAATAAGGTCACAGTGTGGAGTCAGTTCTGCTGTTGAATATATTAACACAAGCTAAATAATATAAGCAAAAACTACACAAGCTAAATTGTCAGCACACATTCTAAACCGCTTCTGCCTTGCCTCACTTCTGCCATCTGACTGGCCTAACAATGCCAAAAACACCTTAGAAACGGCTGCTCTCCTTGTCCTCCACACCCCCAGCAGAACCAATTATACTTTTTATCCCAACAGGTTAGTTTTCAGATTTCATTTGCTTTCAACACAAGGCCAAGGATTATTAAAAGTCATTTATGTTAAGAGAGTTAAGCAACATTAAATACAGCACATTGCTAGTGAAGCAGTAACCTCAATGCTGGACATAGTCAAACCAAAGTGAGACTGATAAAGTCAGACTGATAAAGCTGTTTTGGGATCTAAGCTCTTCTCCATCAAATTCCATTAACCACATACCAAAACACCAGGGTGCCTCTACCTGATAATTAACCTCTTACTGCTAAAAGGCAAAGTGAAGCAGACTTACTGAAGTGAATACTCACCTGGCTGTGATGTTTTCATTTCCATCAAATTCTGGAGGGGAGACAAAACTGAGCCTGGACTTGGTTCAGTCTTATCACCTCTAAGTTTTAAATGAGAATATCCTCATGAGAAGGCTAACTTGCGCATCACATTACCTGATGAGTTTGATTTCAAATAGAACTCAGCTCCATAGTTCAGCATCTGTAGCTACTGCAGAAAGAGGCAGCTGTGGAGTTTCCAGTTTCTGGTTCCACCAAATTATTTTGGAGTAACAGTTTCCTTTTGTCATTTTCCCTTTTATTATGCAGTAAATAAAGAACTCTGGTGGTGAAGTGGGTAAAGTATTTATTTGGCTGCTAAATAGCAGGTCAGCTGTTCAAACACAACAGCTGCTCTGTGGGAGGAAAATGAGGCACTCTCCTTCCGTCAAGATTTACAGCCTTGGAAACCCTACTGGAGCAATTCTACTCTGCTCTGTAAGGTTGCTATGAATCAGAATTGACTTGATGGTAGTGGGTTTATGAGATAAATAACTGCTTTATAATGCACATTCCCAACTGCCACTGACTAAAGACTGCAAAGATGTACTGAGCACACACGGCCAAACATCAAATGGCTAAGGGTTAAAATCTAACTAAGCAGAGTCTGAATATGAATGTCCTAGAATGAGTTCTGGAATATAAGATTATAGTGGGCAGTAAGTGTTACACTGTACATTTCTGATGCTAAACAGAAGCTCACTTAATTGAAGACAAAGGAGAAGCAAGATATTTGATGGGCTCAGCTACTACACCACTGCCATCAAGTTGATTCTGACTCATAGGGACTCCCATACGGAGTCCAAGGCTGTAAATCTTCATTTTTCTCCTGCGGAGCAGCTGGTGTGTTTGAACTGCTGACCTTTTGGTTAGCAGCATAATGCTTTAAGTACTGCCAGCACAGAACACTGCAAATAATGACGATCATCTTGTTAGTAAGCTTTCCTTCTTTTCTAACAGTAACTAGACTAAAAACCTATTTCCTTTTCAACACCTGTGATAGCGTATACGGCGATCGGTTTCCTCAAAGCCCATCCACCAAGTTTCTGCACTTCTGAATGAATACTTTGCATACTTTCTGCAGCAGACTTAAGACTGGTATGCCTATTTACATTTTGCATTTCTAGTGTTTTCGCATGCATTTGTGGCTTCAACAATCACTTGAGAAAATCTTATCTTTAAATCCTGCATCTACAACTGTGACAATCAGCTTTTAAAGATAACAAAATTGTCTCTGAATGTCTATCTTTGCCTCAATGTTCACTGTGTGCACAATCAATTTCAATCAATATAAATCCTGGAGATTTATATGGTTTTTACAACAGTGCAGGAATGCCAGAAATGACAGTGAAACAGGTTCCAAAGGTTAAGGCAAAAGTGGAATAGCAGCCCATTTTGGATTAAGGCTGAAGTCTAATTGCAGTGACAGCCATCTCGTCCAACCCCCTCAGGCAGCTGCCGATGCCGTGCTGCCGCCAACTACACAGCCCTCTGCACAAAAAGACCGGCCACAGCCCAGACCTTCAATAAGGCCCCCAGCTCCACTGGACTCTCACCAACACTTCCTCTCAGAGACTTTCTGAAAGAAGTAACTGCACATCAGTTTATTAGAAATAATGCTTTGTATTTCTGAGTAAAGTTCAATTATATTGATTTGATCTCAGTGTAAATACCATTTTCCCTTTTTTATGAACGACAAAAGTCTAGTCCCATTTGGCTCTTGAACAGGCAGAAAATAACATTAAGAAGATGGAGGACATTTTAACTCAGTGCTCAAGCATGGGGCCAATTCCTGAAATTTCTGGAAGGGCTGATCACTATATTGCCTGAATACCTCCCAAAGATAGGTCATCTCATTAAAGACTTCCATAGACTACAATATTCTTAGTAATAGCCTATTCTGTGCTGGGCTTTTGCTAGGCATTCACACACTTATCTCATGTAATTCTCAACTCTGTGTTTTTAGATACAGAATCCATAGCTCAGAAGTTGATTTTAGCCAAGTTTCAAATCTATGAAATACCAGAGCTAAACCAACTGAAAAATTCACATTCCCAAGCCTAACAGTCTGGAGTGCTATTAGGTCACAGAGTGCTCAATAAAGAACTTTGAACAAAGACAGAATGATGTGATGATCTTCACAATCTCTGGAGCAACTATAAGTGCTTGATAAATATTTACTAAATTAATATGGCAAGATCACGGAAGATTTAAGCCAGCAACTAGATTTTCAAGCCTATCATGTCCAAGAAATAAAACCATCCAATTATGGAAGCTGTTTCCAATAAGGGAATAGCAGGTTAAGGACTTCTGGCAAGACTTAATCAAGACAGAGATCAGGGATTATAAATCTATAGTTTTATTAAGACAAAAACTGACAGGGTAATATGAAGTTTACATTTAAACAAAGTTTTCACAGAAACCTAACACATGCCTAAAAAGATTTTATAATGCAGCTCTAGATGCAGTTTAGATGATGTCAAGAACTGATGGATCTCATGATTCAAGACAAAGCATTTTGGGCATCAGTTAATTCTTAGGATTAAAAAAAAATTTATTTTTAAAGTGAACCACTGCCCCAATGTGAAAGTTTAATCTTCTCCTGAGACTAGGGCTTTTTGAAATCTTTCAACCCTTGAATTGATTCAATGAAACTTGTGCTGTTAGTGATTGAACCCTGCCGCCAGTGGTTTCAGAGTTCAAAGTTCAAAAAGCAGAGTGGCTCCAAGAGTTTCCACCCTACGACAATGGGCCCTCGTCTTTCCTACTCTGCTCTATACCACCCTCTTTGTGTCCCTCAAACAGCTCAGCCAACAGCTTGGATGGACAAGCTGATATTTATGACTTCTTGGAAAAGAAAGGGTCTTCTTGTCAATTTCAAGAATTAGCACCTCTAAAACAGAATAATCTGTTGTGTATACTTTCCAATAAAAAACTTTCCCTCTTCAGTCAGCTTCCATCTCCAAAATTGTGGCTTTGGTAACTTACTGCCCTAGTCCTTTGTAGGGATAACATTAGTTCAGGTGGGGAACACCTTGGTTTATGGGTTCCAGGCATTCAGAGCTTTTAAACAGTTGCTCAGTTTTCATTTACGTTGCCAAGGACTTTAGGTAAAATATTCTGGACGTAGAACCAAATCAACAGTTGTCTGGTTTTTTTCTATTGTTTCACCATTTCCTCAATCAGGCCCAACTTTTAACAAAAATGATCCTACCCATGTCCCTTCTTCCCCATCCATCCCTCCCACCCCCAAATAATATACCAGTAATAGTCAAAAACTACACACATGCTACGCTGTAAAAATGTAGAGTTAACACTATTGGGAAGAAGGCTGTGGGTTGTGGAGATGCTCTTTGAAGATCTATAGTATCTCTTTGCTCTCCCACACACCCACTCTGCAAGCTTCGTCCTTCATAGAAGGCCCTTTGCGTTTCTCAGCAAAGTGCAGAATGGGTTGCCTTAAAACACTTATCTGCTTCCCCTCCACTGGGATGGGTGTGCAATCTATACAGCATGGAACAGCTTTAAAGCACTTGGGCTGCTGCAGGGCACAGAAACTATACCGGCTCTTCAAAGGACATCTTCTCAAGCCACTTCTATGGTGTCAAGACAAGTAGAACTCCTTCCCTCCCCACTTTAAACCCACAGTCATGTGACAGGGGCTGGTACTCAGTAGAGTTAATTCTTGTCATCTTTCTTGTCATCATCCTCTGAGGGGTAGGAATGCCACGTCAGCCTTTCCTCATAGAAGGATATGACAACCTGTGGGCACTTGACATTGGCTTCCTTGGCAGGGACCAGGTCAGCCTCATCAGAGTTTTTCCTGTAGAACAAAGTAAAGAGAGACTTTTGAGACGAGATACTGGGAGCCTGACCTGCAATACCCAAGAGACAGGGCTTTAAAAATATTTCCAGAAGAGAAAGGCTAGAAGAAGGCTCAAGAAGCATTTACTGGTAGCTTGTAGTCAAGAGACAGTTCAGGAATCCTCTCTTGTTTAAAATTTCCTTTGGGATCTTTGCCAAAAGTTAGGTCACCTGGCTCAACCTATCCATCTGAACCTCTGGGAAAGGTATCACTAATCCCCAAAATCATGATTCTCTAGATTCCTGAGAGAAAAGGAGAGGCTGTCACACACCATTCGAAATACCATTTCCCAGTGATAAAAGCTCATGGAGAGATCTTGGTTTTATAATAGGATTTAATTATATACAGTGCATATACAGGCAGAGCCGACACAGGTGGGCATTTTCTTGCTTATTCACATTGTATTATGGAACATTACCAAATGCCATGTTCACACAAACGTGACATGACCCCCAGGCGCTCTGTGATGTTATGTTAACATTGGGAGGTGGGAAATGATATTCTTATTAACACTCTGTTTTTTCTGAATTTTAAAATGTCCTCAAAATTTGAAAATCTCACATGTATTATAAAGGAATTAGGAGAATAAGCTGTATCTTCAGGTCATGGGAGTGTCTAGATGGAAGCAGCAGAACGGGGCAGGCAGCAGGTGTACGAGGGGTATCTGACCAGGCACCCCTCTACCTCCAGCAGCACGTAAACCAAAGCCACACAGCCCTCCTGAACCAGCAATGAGTAAGCCTATATGGTATATTTTTGAGCAACAGACCCAAAGAATGGTAAGGAAAAGGATGTAACAGTATGGAGAACCTAGAGCAAGTGGCCCTCTGCTGACAATTCAACAGCACCCTCTGAAGTTAGTCCAGTCATTTCACTGCATAGACATATTTGCTGTATTTGGAAATGGACAAGTATCTCTACTCTCTGGGAAAATCACTTTTTTATAATGAGCTTGGTTTTGTAATCAATGTGCAATCTTAAATTCTAGAGTTACATTCAGCTGTAATCTCTGCACACTGTACAGTAAAAGTTTAAGCAATATGAAGTTATTACTGTAACTCACACTGGTCCCACACAGAGAAGTACATTTCAGCTAGGCTGAAAAAATCCCTGCTATCAACTTTTTCCCCCTATACACAGCACCTTAAAAATGAACTTTTCTCTTACAGGCTAGGAATAAATCAGCTAAAAGAGGGTCATATTCAGTATCACCTAGGGAATTCAGAGGAAGAAAACAGAGGGCTAGTTAGTTAAGATAGAGGCTTCCAGTGGTGCTAAAGTTAGGCCACTCAGGTCAGGTCATTTACTAAAGGAGAGGAATTAATGCAGATACAAGTTGCACAGAACGTTCTTGATTCATAAAAGACAAACAGAGCTCTCAGAATGCTGTCTTTATTGGCAAAGGCTTAGAAAATTATTCACACTTAGTTGTATATTGTAATGACTGAGATTTACTTTGAAGAAAAAAGAAAGAGGGGACACAAGCGTCTTTTAACAAGCAAGAGAAAGGAAAGAGAAGCTTTTCTGAACAGAAAGTAAGGAAATTAGAGAATTTGGGGTTAATTACAGTTCTCAAGACTCTCAAGATAACTGCCTTCATCAAGCTGTTTCATGGGGTATTACTATCACTGATATTTTCATTTATATACCCACTCCTCACGTATCAACACGGTTAAGTTTCAACCACCAGGCATTAGTGCCAAGTAAGGGGCCACGCCCTGTCTTTAATGCCAGTGCCCTCCTACCCACCATGCCTTCCTTCAGGGGCTGGGGATGACTGTGGTGGTAGTTGGGTGCTGTGTTTCACTGACCCTAGGTGGGGACCCTGATTGTTCTCTGTTCGCCCTGGTGCCCCATGTGGCCCCATTCCGTCTCCTCCCAATATCAACCTCATTACTCACTGGCTTCTTTATGTCTTCACCTAGCCTCCCCTGCCTGCCCATGACCTCATGTCATCCCACAATCACCCTGAACCCTCTGGCTGGACTGAGAAATCACAGAAGAATGGGAGAAGGTGTCCCATGACCACATGGCTACCATCCCCCTTGTGGCCCCTCCTGTGGCCTGGTTGTCGCCAGAGACTGTGGTCTTTGTTCAGGCTGTCCCGTAGAGGATGCCCTGGGCCTGGCCATGGCCCTGCATGGAGTCAGGACCATCAGAGGCACCGCTTAACAATTTTTTCAGAGTAGTCATAAACACAAAGTGTCAGATAATCAGAGACAGTCGGTAAGAGGAGTAGGTGTAATGGAAAAAAGTAGAGGTTAGCTCTGTGTTCCTTAACAGTAGAGGGGTCCTGCTGACCCCTGCTGGCTGATTCCTGAATAGAATCTGCACAAACCAGAAAGGATGTTAACAATCAAGGACAAAGGAAGAGCTAGCTGTGAAACTGGTTCTTAACCCTAAGAAGTTAACACAATCTCCTGGGGCCAGCCCGATCTTTATTAAGGAGGTGGTAGAAGGGGAGGGTGATCCAATCACATTTTTCATTTACAGAAATGAAATGTGACTCCTCCCCATACCCTCTCCATTCTAGATTTTCTCCCACCTCCTAAAAAAAAAACGGGCACAAATCTGAGAGTCCTAAGGGCCCCTACCTGTAGCTCATGAGTCCAAGTTGACAGTCAGGCCGAGGGTCACTATCGAAGGACTATGTCATCTTACAGATTTCACACTGGGCGACTGGAATTTCCAAGGTCCAGCTCTTTTCCTCTGGCAAGGAACAGATGGGAAGAAGAAAAAAACAACTACACAGAGCGGCTGGCAGACTCACCATTTCATCAGGAACATGAGCTCTCCACTGGAGTCTGTAGCTCCAATAATCCGCTCCGGCTCCAAACCCCGGGCAAAGCCTCGTGGCTTTTCTGACTGTAAAAACCAGACGGGTAGGAGAATTTTATCTACAGAGGACTCTTGTCCAGACTGGGGTCACTCCTGTTTCTGTGGTTACTGTAATCCTAAACTCTTTTGTCAATATTTCATCAATACCTTGGCTCCAAGTAATAGGCTTTTAGGCTCCTTCTGAGTGATTATTCCATCAAGGCCTGAAGTGCTTGAGGTTTTCCCATATGTAAAAAAGGACATACATCTCAAGCAAACTAAAATGTTCACAACTGTCTCTTCACCCTCAAAAGACAACTTACTTTAAAGTGTTGAATAAGCCAAAAAACACCTCAATCTTTTAATGATGAAAACAATGATAGACATTTTCAGGAATACATTTAATTTGAGCTTGTCTGTCCCCAGTGAGTGTTACATTTACTGCTTCTGTGGTACAGATAAAGAGTAAAAGTAGATTATGTGGCTTCTCCACACTAAGTCCCCAAACATTCTGTGAGCATTGGTCTAAGATTCCAGAAGGCCTGGGAGGAGGTGGTTTCTGAGATCCAAAAAGCAGAAAAACAGAATTGCTGAAATTGTATCTTTGACAATAGTGTAGATTCTGGTCTAGGAGAGATTCCTACATTTAATCTTACCTCTTCTTTCTTCTTCTTTGGTTTACTTTCCTCTCCTTTGTCTTCAGAGTCAGAGTCAGCTTTGCGCTTGCCTCCTTCTGATTTATCTGTCTCATGAGCTGTTTTCTGGGACTGCAGAAACTCAGCGATGAGGTCGGGACAATCCAGGTTTTCTTCTGGCTCCCATGTGTTGTCCTCACTAAAATCAGACGGCACAGTAACATGCTTATGTTAGGAGTAAGCATAGGATAAGAGCTGGCCTCCGTGGAAAAGAGGAATTAATGAGTAGCTAGATTTTATCTAAGACCAAAAATGTGGGAAAGTTGAAACTTCTTTGGGGCTTTTTAGTACAAATTGAAAGCACAGAAAACACAGACCTCCCTCAAAGGAAATTACTCTCCCTTTGCAAATTTGGATGTATCTATAGCCACACGCAAAAGTACTCTTCAGAAATCACATTATATCTTGGGTTATAGTTTATGCGTGTAGGTCATTTTCCTAACGGACTACAGGCCATGAAGACCAGAACCGAGTCACACTCTATCTGCCACAGCATCCCAGGCTTTGCACATCACTGGACTGCTGATCAGTATTTTGCAATTACATGAATGGAACTGTCCATGTGAATGTCACTTACTCTGAGAAACCTTTCCACTTTAGGAGGTACTCCACTTTGCCCTTGACCACTCGACGGTCAAGAACTTTTTCCACCACATATTCTTCTTCCTCCTCTTCTAACACCTCCTCTACTTTCTTCTTGTTTTGTTTTTTCCCCATAGTGCCCGCCAGCTTTCTGGTGTAAAGGGTGACGCTGCTAAAATGATAAGGGAAATAAAAAGGGCATTAGGACATACTCTTCTTGGCTAGGTTAAGTATTTGGATGATGAGAAAACCAGGGGCATAATAGACAGCTTTGATATTATACACTGCTTGTATTAAATGTATGCCTATTCACCTTTATATACGACCAATAAAGTTTTCGGAATACGTTCAGCTAGTAAAGGTAGTCTATAAAACAGTCCCAACGGAATCTCACAGTAAAGCTTCTTTACTCTTGCATATCAATTTAAAATTCTTATGTTCATTCTTTCTTATAAAAGAAAAATCCCAATACTTCTGTTACAATAAAGGATGGTACCTAAAATGCTACATTAAATTGAAAGGAAAGCAATCACCTTAAACACAAGGTACATACATTAAACTTACATACATATAATCCTCTGACTCATATTTCTTATTCTTCATATATTTTCTATTTATCACAATACCAGACTTGAATTTTTACCGTAAGAAATAACTGGTCCTATTCGCTCAACATTTAGTTTAATTTTCCTTTTTGTTTATACACATGCTCCACTCTTCTGCACTGTTTGATCATTCTCTTTTGAGTCCTCTTAATGCTCAGAAGGAAGAGCAGGCAATGTAGTGATACCGCCTTGGAAACCCAAGGAGGGGACGCTAAGAGTCGGGTCCGACTTGACGGCACATAACAATAACAACAATGTTCTTTACAAGGAACTCTGGTAGTGTAGTGGTTAATGCATTTGGCTGCTAACCAAACTGTTGGTGGTTCAACCCACCACCTACCACGTGGAAGAAAGTTAGGCAGTCTACTTCTGTAAAGATTTACAGCCTCAGAAACCCAATGGGAGTCCGTATGAATCAGAATCGACTCGAGGGCAGTCAGTTTGGTTTTAAAAGCCAGAAACAAACCAAGCTCACTGCCGCTGAGTTGGATCTGATTGATAGCGACCCCTCCTTGGGTTTCCGAGGCAATATCACTACAGAAGTAGATTGCGCCATCTTCCTTTTGAGGAGTGGCTGGGGGGTTTGAACCTCCAGCCTTCTGGTTAGCAGTCAAATGCCTTAGGCACTAGGCTACCAGAGCTTCCCAGCTTGGTTTTGGAAAGTTCTTTATGTAATGTTTTCTGAATGCCACCGTGTGTTTACAATTCACAAATTTTTTGTTAACTTTCTATTCTACTTACATTACTTCATAATTTATTTCTAAGACTGAAGAAGACCTGCATGACCATGAAATTCTCTAAACTAGAGCACTGTATTTATTTGCAAAACTGGTGGTGAAAAAAAAAAAGGTAATAATCACAGATAACACAAGAATTTATTCATTTGTAAAACATATCACTGGACTGGAATGACCTCTAGTAGTTTTTCTAGTGCTAAAATTCTAGAGGAGCTCTGGTGGCATAGTGCCTAAGGCACTTGACTGCTAACCAGAAGGCTGGCAGTTCAAACCCATCAGCCACTCCTGGGAAGGAAGGTTAGGCAATCTACTTCCGTAGAGATACTGCCTCGGAAACCCAAGGAGGGGTCGATATGAGTGGGAGACAACTCGACAGCACATAACAACTGTAACACTTCCTTTCATCCAACTCTTTTGACTTTGATTACCTATTTATGTCAGTAGATGGCGCCATAAGATATCAATAAAACAAAACTGGTCTACAAAACTGGCTGAAATCTACAAACTGCTAAAGAGGCAGCAAGATTCACTGTCAGTCTTTAGCTACAGTGCAGAGAAAAAAATAAACTGACAATCACCTTTTGGTTACAAGGGCTACATTAATTTAGACTGGAAACTGGAAGATACTCCCTTTCTCAATAACAATTACCCAGAATAAGATACGAAGACTCAGGAGGATGGCAGATGATACAAGACAAGGGTACTACCAAGTTTAAGACAATGTCTATTCTGGGTTAAACTGGTTATATTCCTAGATCATACAGACTATATGAAAATCAATGGGTAGCTTTCAAAAACATCAAGATGATCATCATGCATCAGTTACATCATCTACAGAGTTTATCTACAGTTTATAACTCTAAGGATTATTCCCATGTCTGCATATATGAACGATGCTGACTTCAGGGAAAAAACATTTGTTTGGCTACTAGAAAATTCTAGGCACTGCTGAATACTGGAGATTCAAAACGGAGTAAGGAACGGTCTCTGCCTACTTGAAGCTTGATGTCTTCTAGGAAGAAATTCAGACACCTCCGCCATTAAAGTCGATTCCCACTCACTGTGACCCCTACTGGTTTTCTAAGCCTGTAAATCTTTATTCTGCACTCTTGGAGAATGGCACGAAAGAATGTTTCCTGAGGTGCTTTTAGTTTGGCCCAAAAGCAACACCCAAAGCCCAGACCACAGTTTAGAACTGCCTGCCTGAACAAAGAGATGTGCTAAGATCAGATGCAGTTATCTTTTCAATATTTGTCTTCCTCATTCACATACTAAAGACTCTTGCTTTCCTTCCCATCCCTTGTCTCCTCTTCCAGAGACAGTGCCAGATGACTGGGCTTTTCCTTCTGTTCCTGCACATACTAATCAGTGTATTGAACGCAATCTTGGCTAGCTTCATTGTGCCTGTGATTTAGGGGCTGTATTTCTTTCTGGTAGAAGATGCCTTCAGGTTTGCAGGAATTCTGATAGCAATACAAGTGTTATTTTATGAGTAAAGAAAAATCTAATTGTCCCTTTGGATATGTGTTTCTTGCAAGAACAAGTGCTACTCCTTGCTTTTTTCTCTGCCAGCTAAAGAGGCAGCAAGATTCACTGTTAGTCTTTAGCTACAGTGCAGAGAAAAATAAACTGACAATCACCTTTTGGTTACAAGGGCTACATTAATTTGGACTCGGAAACTGGAAGATACTCCCTTTCTCAATAAACAGAAAGGAACCTGGGTTATGGACCCATCCAAAACAGTAACTGTTCCCTAATAACCCTTCTTCCAAGTAATCAAAGTTAAGGAAGTAAAGAAAAGGCATTCCATCACTCAAACGAAATTCACTGCCATCAAGTCGATTCTGACTCACAGCGGTCTCTAGTGGGTTTCCAAGGCCATAAATCTTTACAAGAAGCAAACTGGCTCATCTTCTGGAGAGCAGCTGATAGGTTCAAACCATGGAACTTCTGGTTGGCAGCCAAATGCCTTAACCACTACACCAACACATAGCTTCAGAGTTCAGAGCTACTTAAGGCTCTGTGTTATCTATCTTAACAACTATTTGTCTTAATCACAAAAAGAAATAGCACTGAATACAGCCCATCTGACCCTATTACTGTGAACTAAAAAGGTCAGGACAGCTACTGCAGGCCTCTCCTCCCTTTATCATTAGCATAGAGCCATGAAGGAAGAGTCAGACTAGAATAAGACTATAATTCTTTAGGTTAGTTCAAGAAAGCTTCCCAGATGGGGGAATCTCTTAATTTTTAGCTTTATTCACTTAATTCGTTGTTCCATAAACAACTCAAATTTCAAAGGTGAAGAATGTAGAAAACAGATCCCCCGCCTCTTTCTGAGCTTGCTTAATTTGTTCACCCCAGAGTGGATTCTTTATACTTGAGAATCTCAGCAAGGTCTCCCAACGTGAGTTTTTTCCCTGTTCACAGTCAGCTCTCTAGGGTCCCAAGTGGGCTATATGTCAAGGTCAGTAGAAAACCAGATTACACATGCAACCACTCTTCCCATAGAATCTAGTAGCTTCAAAGGAGCCATGGGCTTTCTTTAAACATTGCTGCTGTTGTTACGTGCCATCTAGTCAGACCCAACTCATAGCGACCCCTCCTTGGGTTTCCGAGGTGGTATCACTCCAGAAGTAGATTGCCCAACCTTCCTTCCGAGGAGTGGCTGGTGGGTTTGAACCGCCAGCCTTCTGGTTAGCAGTCAAGTGCCTTAGGCACTATGCTACCAGAGCTCCAATTAATCTGTTTCTACCTAGATTATTTCAAGATAAATCCTCTCTCTCTGAATATGGTAGTCTCCACATGGAGGGAGGGCTCTCTATTAGAACTGCTGCTGCTGTTGTTGTTATGTGCCATCGAGTCGGACCCAGCTCACAGCGACCCCTCCTTGGTTTTCCGAGGCAGTATCACTGCAGAAGTAGATTGCCCCATCTTCCTCTCAAGGAGTGGCTGGTGGGTTTGACCCGCCAGCCTTCTGGTTAGCAGTCAAGTGTTTTAGGCACTATGCTACCCATTAGAACTGCTAGGCAGGAAAATTTCAAGGTAACTCAGGTCAGTGTAGTGGCACAATGGCAAACTTGCCTGCAGCCAACACTATCTGCCTGCCTCAATCCCTAGCATCCTGGCAATCAATCATTTATGCATCAAAAGTCCCATAAATCATTGAAAAAGTGATAAAATGTATAAAAAAAATTACAAGAAGTATATATGAGGGCCAACAGTTCTAGATTAACTCAGAAATCTTAATCTTTGATGATCTCTAATTTTGTGGTAAAAAACTACCACAACAAACAGATGTTGCACTGGAGGTAAGAAATTTGGAAGATTACTACCTGGCCAATAGACTGGAAGAGATCCATATTTGTACCTATATTCCAAAGAAAGGTGATCCAACAGAATATGGAAATTATAGAACAATATCATTAGTATCACACATAAGTAAAATTTTGCTGAAGATAATTAAAAAATGGTTGCAGCAGTGTATTGACAGGGAACTTCCAGAAATGTGAGACGTGGAATGGGGGTATCATTGCTAACGTCAGATGGATCTTGGATGAAAGGAAAGAATACCAAAAAGATGTTTACATGTGTTTTATTGACTATGCAAAAGCACTTGACTCTGGATCACAACAAATTAGGGATAACACTGAGAAGAATGGAAATTCCAGAACACTTGCTTGTGTTCATGAGGAACCTGTACACAGCCCAGGAGGCTGTCATTTGAACAGAACAAGGGGATACTGCATAATTTAAAATCAGGAAGGGAGTATGTCAGGGCTATATCCTTTCACCACACTTATTCAATTTGTATGCTGAGCAAATAATCT